ACATGCTTGCAATGTCTTTCAAAGTGAGATTTAAGCAATGAGCAGCACAAGGTGACCAATAAATACTTTTATATTTATCTTTAATCAACTTGCCACATGCTACATAATTAGCAACATTATCAGTTACCACATGCACAATATTTTTGGAACCAACCCACTCAATCACTTTAGAAAACAATGAGAATAAAGTCTTGGCATCTTTTACTAGATCAGAAGTATCAACAGATTTCACAAATACTATGCCATGTGTAGAATAGACAAGAAAATTTATCAAAGTTTGTTGCCTCACATCTGGCCAACCATTAGCAATGAGTGTGCATCCATAAGTTTTCCATTTAGATCAATGACTCTCAATAAATAGCTGACATTCTTTTTTCCAATCATTCAACAAATTGACTTTAAATTCATAAGCATTAGGACCCTTAAACCCTGGCCCAATTGAAGCAATAACATCCATAGCTTTTTGAAAGAAAGGGCAATTTAATGCATTAAATGGAATGCAATTGATGATAGCCCATTCAGCAATGGCTATTTTTGCATTGTGTTGTGCTTCTTTAGTTGTAAATGCACTCTTGATGCTTGGTTGGGAACCTGAAGTTGTCCTGAGAGCAAAATAATTTTTAACTAGAATAGTAGGAGGTTTATTTTTACTGGCACTACTCTCAGGGATTGACTTAGATGGAGCAGGTGCATAGGTTCATTAGCATTAGACACATGTTCCTCTATGTCTGCTTGTACATCAGAAAGCTTTCTCTTTTTCCCACTTTTCAATAATTCTTGTATTTGATGATGAATATCAAAAGGAACTTTGCTGCAAGAAATTACATTTCCACTTACACCAGCAAGATGATGCTTCAATCTATTTATTCCACTTCCTTTATAGCTTAATGCACAATAAAGACATGTATACACATTTTTGTTGCCCTCTTTTCTTAAGGCACCATGCACCCATACAGGATCTTTTTTTCCCACGAACTGATGGGGTTCCAAATATGGAGTCATTATGACTTGTGGGGGGTTAATGGAATTAGGGGTGGGATTGTTGGAATTAGGAGTAGGATTCTCAGTTCCTTCACTACTAGAATTATTTTCAATATCCATATTATAGCTTTACTCTGTAAGTTATGATAATGTCAACATAAATAAATATCTAATGTAAAAAAAAACAAAGCTCGAACATGCTAGCAAAGCAGATTCAATAAGTGTGTAGATTAAAGCAGACATGCCAACAGAGTGCAAATTCAAGAAGTAAAGCTCGAACATACAGAGCAATTTAATTTTAGCTAATTTAATTTCAAGAAGTGAAACTCGAACATACACCTCTCTAATTAATTTCAGCTGAAGTGAAGTTCGAACACTACTCTAAGAGTATAGAGCAGCAAATTTTAAAGATACAAAGCAACAGCAGTTATAGAGTAAACTAGAATATAGTACACAGATCACAAATGAAGCTTGAAGATATAGAGCAACAGCAACAATGAGTAAGGACGGACTGCCGAAGAGAGGAGAGAGAAGCCATACCTGAATCAAGTGGAGGGAGAGAGAGAGAGAGTAGCTACCTAAGACGGACCGTTAAACCTCCCAAGGACGACACACGACAGCAGATGAAATGAGACCCTCCAAGCTTGAAGAGGAAAGGAGGAAGATCAGAGAGGCTGAGACGAGACAGCCACAGAGAGGAGACGGGACAACCACAAAGAGGAGACGGGATTCAGAGCTTCAGACAAAGCACAGCCAGAGTTCTTGCCTTCTCAGTTCACGGGTTCAAATTCAAAGCTTCAGATGAGATGGGGCAGGTGATGCTTCGAGGATTCTGGAGTGCTTAGGGTTTTTGGAGCTGGTCATTTTCGATTCAAGGCAGATTGGCAAAGGCGAGACGGATGGATGATTGAAGCAGAGTTCAGACAAAGGTCATTTTTTTATATGATGGCCCCCAAAATGACGTCGTTTTGGGGGTCAAATTTTTAAAAAAATAATAACCTGCCCAACCCTCCTGACCCGAGGGGTTGGGCGGGGTTACTCGGGTTAATCCCAAGTCACCCAGGTTAACCCGAGTCAAAAGTGACCATCTTGCCCAGATGAACCGGACCAGACTGAACATCGGGTCACCAAGTCGGACCGATCAGTCCAGTCTGATTTTTAATTCCATGGGTTAGATATATACGTGTGTGTATAAGAGGGTTACAAATGTGATGACTGGTTAGCCAATTTTTATTTTGCTCTTAACTTTGATGTTTAAAGGTTGGAATTACCTCCTAGGGATTTATAGGGCTTGTTGTACAATGATGCTGTGGGTTTTTCTTACCTAAGGAAAGTTCTGATGAATGAATGAATGGACTTGGCCTTATTGCATATAAAAAAAAATATTTTTAATTGAATCTTACTTCAATAAAATAATTATTTGTTTTCAAGTAATCATACCTTTTCATAATTATACATATTCCTTAAAATAAATATAAAATAATTTATTCAATAGAGACACCTAAAAAAAAGATGATGATTATATTTTAAAAAAATAAAAATGTCTTAAATTTTTTAATATTCAACCATATTTTTTAATAGAAGGAGTAGCATTTTTACCCCTAAAACATTTGTAAAAAGAGCGCACAGCGATTGACATTTTAAAGTTCATTTATGTGGAGAATTTTACAGCGTATCAATATCACCGTAAATCTAAGAACAGTATTCGCCATATGCAAAAAGCGGCTCCAGTTAAAAAAAAAAAAAAAAACAGTATTCGTCATTAAGAACAGTGTTTTCGCGGCTAAAGGAATGTGTTATCTGCCCTTACGATGATTCAATGAAGAATCTTCACAAGTGCTTCGTAAGGAAGCTTTTCTTTTTCTTCTTTTTTCATCTGAACTACTGAACTAAACATGGACTGACTAACTATTAATTTCCAAGCAAGGGCAAATATCCAATGGTCTAACAAATGTTTGAGGATACAAATGAATAGAGAGAGAGGGGGGTGCATTTTGACGAGAAACCCATGACAATTGTGGCCAAAGGAAGAAAGTTTCATGCTTGATTTGAAAACTATTCTCAATGACTCACTACTCATGAATCAGATTTATGTCCTTACAAGTATACATAGCTTCCTTTTTCAATTTGACTGTTGAGTTTCCCTCCTCCATTCAAACAAGAATACTTTAAATTTGAAGTCTTTTCTTTTTAGTCAAAACACACACCTCCTTTCCCTTTTTTTTTTTTCATCTTCCATAATCTTCCATTTTAAGAGGTGTGCTGTAAGGCTACTTCTTCATTGTACAATGCATGCACCTGGTGATGGTTCTTTGTGTAATTTTCTTTTGATTTCTTTTTAAATGAATGATTCTGATTCATGAATCTGTCAAAGAACATGGTTTGCTGCTTAATGGAGTGCAATAGAAAGAAACAATTCAAGAGCTCTATTGCAGGCGGAGTCCATGGAAGAATGCAAGTATTTAGGTATCTTCTTCCATTAATATTCATTCACTGACATCTATTTAGACGAGGAATCTTGAATGTGTGTCATCTACCTTCATTTTCTCCGAGATATATACTTTACTTCCACATTTGCTGCAAGCACCCTAGGAAGACTACAGATGCCTTCAGCTTGAGCGCCTCCATCTACAGCTGCGTCACTCAATAGTACTGTTCTTATATTCTTGTGGAAAGTGACTATATGTGAGGAAGCCTTAAGATCAGTCGAATCAGGCGTTTCTGAGATCAATCCATATATACAAAGACTTGGTGACATTGATCTAAAGCATATTAGCTTATGAATGACAGGTCCTTCTTGACAGATGCACGAGATATGGAAACATATAGTTGTTGATAATTGATAAGCTTGCTAAGGAGGCCCTGAATGGAGGACTAGGGATCTCTGTTTTTCAAAACCCACCTCCTTGCATCGTTCAGGATATTGACAGAGATATTATGGCTTTTTCATCTTTTTCTTGGCACTAGGTCTTTTAATTTTAACTTTCATTGAATTCCTACACTAAACTTTTAAATATGGGAAAATAGCGATGGAGAATAGCTGAAAAAGATTTTTATCAGTTAATGATTAATTATTGTTAGAATTCAAATTAAAAAAAATTTAAATGAATTATTGTTAATTTATAATAATTTGTTAATACCTGAATCAATAGTTGTTGATAAAGACTAACCTGAGTCGATAAGTATACATTCAAGTTTTGATGACAAATAATCCTTAACTGACATAAATTTCCTCTGGCGCTCCTTGGTTGATATTTTTCCTTTAAATATTCATAAAATATTTTTAAATGTTAACGTATTAAGTTTAATTTTTTTTAAAATAGCAATAACTAATGCTAAAAAAATTATTTGAAAGTTAATGTGTTAGGATTAATTAGAAGATTAAAATAATACTTTATAAAATTAAAAAAATTAATTAAAACTTTATATAAAGTTAGAAAATTAAAGGTATACTTCAGTTATAAAAAAGTTAAAAAATCTTATAAAGAAGTTAAATATGCTCTCATTTAATATTTGACTATATCCAAATAGATGAAAAACAAATCAGAGTAATCAAGAGAGGATGACCACCATGCACACGAAGATCAAACATACTCAATCTTTGTCGTCATGCTGATCTTGTGTGTTAATTTACTTTCCCCCTGCCAGTCAAAGGAACCGAACTTTCTACAAAGTCAAACGTGGAATGTGTGGCGGGAAATGGAACATACGTTGGAAACTTGTGTACGTGTTGATTCTGAAGATTATATGAAGTCAATATCAAATCATCCTCATCATGAAAAAGAATTTCATTGTCTCCCCAAAATCCTGGAGACACTCAAACTCGGGCAATAGTCCAATCTCAATCTTCTTACTCCAACTACTCTCCACACCATACTCATCCATCACCCAGTAACACATTTTCCATGTTTTCTCCCAAATGCACGTGCAAATCTCTCATTTAGCACTCTATACTATCCACCCAATTAGAGCCAATCTCAGGTGGCAATTGGATCATTCCAAACATTTCTTTGCTAAAATCAAAGCTTTAAGGTCTTTACCATTATCAAAAGTGCCATCATCTCCAAGACATAATTGGGGACTACATCCACATCTATGGTTCTCCAAGAATCAGTATTGAGACTGTAAACTTCAACTAGAGGTGCTTCTTCTTCATCGAAAGGCCACTTTGAAAGTCGAACAACCTTGCAATCCTCTTTGGCGGGTTCGAACCCAAATCCAACCCCGGTACATTCTAAGGTTCTCGGTTCCGTCTGAGTGCGCTGAATAACCTTGACCTCTTTTGTTCCTGGGTTCCACAAGATTATTCGGCCCTCAGAACCAGAGGAGATCGGATTAACTTCCCCATAGAAACAGAAAATCCCATTAGATTGTTCGTAAGTCAAGCTCAAACCCTAATCATTCCTTGGGAGAAATTCTAGATCGTACTGGATTGCATAGGGACTCTGATCTTCAAAAAACAGGGATGTGCAGACGGGACTTCACGATTACTCAAATGGAAGATAATCTTGAGGTGGCGATTCTTGGTGATCAAATTTGACCGTTCAAGATGTTTGGTGATAAAAGAAGAGTTAGTGATTTGAGCGTACCAGGATTTAGCGACACATTTGAATCGAAGCAAGGATTTTACAGGCAGCCTCGCCATAATGTCCGTTATGAGATCTTTACGAAGATTGGCGCTAAGCATTTTTGTCATTCAAAGGAAATTATCTGAGAATGTCTCTTTAATTTCTCTCTTGTGGGTGTTGTCGCTCTTAGTTTCAGCAAGAGATCGAAGGCGTGTTGTGCGGTTTATAGGCTGATTCCCATGTCTGTGAGAGAAAATAGAAACGTTCCATGACACCCTATCTGTGGACTTTGTTTCGGAGTCAGCTTCCCTCCAGCCTTCTTTGCTCCTCCACGATGAAAATTTGTACGTTTCAGATTTAATATTTTTAAAATAAAAATATATATTAATTATAAAAAAATTTAATAAATATATTTATCAATCTAACAATTTAAATTTAATATGGGTGATTCAAATTTAATATTAAAAATTTAAATTAACTTTTTAAATATATTTTAAATAATACATATATATTCTGAATGAAGTAATAAGCTTATTAAAAAAATTTTAATATTAAATTTGGTCTATCCATATTAAATTTAGACTGTCAAATTTATAAATATATTTATTAAAATTTTTTTATAATTTTTATATATTATTTATTTTAAAAATATAAATTAAAAATATTAAATTTTGACCGTCTAAATTAAATCTAGATGATCTAAATTTTCTTTGCCTCAATGGAGAGGCAGAGAAGGCTTCTCTCAATGGAGGGAAGCCAACTCCCTTAATTTCGGTGCTCAATACTAATTAATATGATGAGATTTTAACTATTTAAATTTTAATTTGAATGATTTAGATTTAAATTATTATTATATATTTTTATCTTATATTTATTAAAATAAAAATTTATAAAAATTATAAAATAATTTTAATAAATTTTTTATTTTTAATATGATCTAAATTTAATTTAAATAGTCCAACTTAATGTTAAAATTTTTATAATTGATATATATTGATTTAAGTGGTTTTAGGTTCAATCCCTCGTTTAACCTAACATTTAATAATTTAATTTGTTGCCACTCCCTTGTTGTGGGGTGAACCCTTTTTTTTTTAAAAAAAAAGGTTAGGATATTCTTGTCATTTCATCCTCAAAATTATATACATTTTAGTCATTTGATCTTGCACTGTAAAATAAAAATCATCTGGTCTTTTTTTGCAAAAAAAAAAAAATTGCTTCCCAAATCCTCTAGTGCGATTTTTTCCATTTATAAAAGCAAAATAACCCCTAATTTTGTTTTGTATAAAAAAAATATAATAACAAGCAACATTCTTAACTTGACACGTGGAGGGACACTTTTCACATTTTAGTTATTTTAATTAAAATAATTTAATTTATATACTTTAAATTTCTTGATAGTTCTCTAAATCTTAATTGTTCTCCTAATTTTTAGGTTTCACATTTTATCCGCTTTTGTCCTAATATTTGTTATTTGAACCTAACACTTTAAATATATATATATATATATATATGTCTTCACCTTGGAATTTTTTTTTTTAAAATTTCAATCATAATAACTTTCTCACCTATGAAAATCTTTCCATTATCATAACTTTTCAACTTTCAAATCCCACATTTAAACTTAAATTTTAAAAATTAGAAGAAAGTTCAAGCTTCTTAACTTCATCACGCAAAAATCTCTCCACTTTCTCAGTATTAATTATCTCACCGATTTAAATATCATCCTAACTTCTCAATTTCTTGTCTGTACGATTTTAAATTAAAGAAACTATTTTTTTTAATAACAACAACAATATTTCTAAAACTGTCTGACCACTAATTCCCTCTTATTTTCCTTCCTCATTACCTGTCAGATATCACAAGCATATATCTTCTATTGAGTGTCATTTTTAATTGAAAAAATTATATTCAAGTTTTATGAACGGAAGTTTATTGTTAAAAAATTTTATAAATTTTACAAAATATTTTCAAATTTTAAATTTTATGTGTTGATAACTTGACTGAGACTATTGGCAACTAGACAATAACCAAGCTGTAAATGATAGTTGCCCAATTGTCAATGCCCTCAATTAAATTATCAATGCATAGGATTTGAGATTTGAGAGTATTTTGTGAAATTTATAAGACACCTTAATAACAAACTTCTTTTTATGAGATTTGAATGTAATTTTCCCTTTTTTTCCACTACTCCAATCTCGTGAAGCCACGTCTAATTTCAAGTTTTGCCTCACACTTGTCTCTAGATTCCGGGAAAGGGTCTGGTGCGGTGAAATTTGTAAAGTGTTTGGGAAGTGGGGTGATTTTGAACGTGTGTTCTATTTAATGATTGTGAAAAGAAGGGTGCATCAAAAGATTAGGGACTGTTATTTTAAAAATAATTTTTTATTCTTTGAAAAAAAAATTATTTGATAATGTATTTTTAAAAAGTATTATGAAGAATCATAAAAACAAAATATTGTGTTAGAGAATTAAAAAATGAGAATATTTTTGAAATGTTCTAGGATTATTGTTTTAGAGAAAAATAAAAAAAATAGATATATTTTTATTATTTTTTATTTTCAAAACATATTCTACAAAACATCAATTATCAAAACAATAAAATAAAAATATTTTCAAACAAGCCCTTGTAATCTGCAAAAGACTTATAATATGCAAAACACCCAAATATTTTTTAATAAAAAATATATTTATATACCTTTTAAAATATTTTAAAAATATTTATATAAGCATTAAAAAATATTTGGGTGCTTTGCAGAAGGCCAGAAGTAATGGGCTATTTTTTTTAAAAGATATATAAATATTTTTTTATAAATATTTGGGTGCTTTGTGGATTGTAAGTTTTTTGATGAACCTCTATTCTTAGCCATTGGATAAAACACACGGTCAAGATCACTTTACTTGGTCACCTGCACCAAGTCCGTCTCCTAAATTTTCCCCCTTTTTATCTCAACCCCTTCTTCCTCTACAATAAAAATCCTTTCATCCGATTCTTTGCCGGAAACGAATTGAACAAAGCAGGGGAAACCTAGGTCGTGTGGGTGAGGAATTAAAGGTCACTTGCAGATTTCGTTCTCCGTGGATGCGAGGTTCTTAGTTTGATTTTCCTGTCCTTTAGATTATTGACATTCACACATTGTATCTCTCGTTGAGACAATCCCAGTATTTTACAGAGCAAAGAAAATGCAGAGCGCCAATCTGCTTCCTGAAGAGATCATGTGGGAGATTATGACGTGGCTGCCAGTAAAATCCTTGCTTCGATTCAAATGTGTATCCAAATCCTGGTACGACCAAATCACTGACCCTTGTTTTATTTCTCAACATCTTCAACGATCCAGTTCTATCACCAAGGCTCGCCGCCTCAAGCTTATCTTCCATGTCCACCGTGTCACAAGGATAAACTACATATCCCCCATCTCTAAAGAACAACCTTATTATGTGCTCCACAATATAAAACCTCTCCTTCATAAGATTTTGATGTTACATAGTCAGTGTAATGGGATTTTCTGTCTCAGTGGTATCGATCAAGGAGATAATCGGAAACTTTCAAGTCTTGATGAGAGCCACTTATTCCTTTGGAACCCTAGAACAAGAGAGGATAAGGTTATTCCGGAATCTCCAAGTCAACTCAAAGGCATGATTATCATAAGCAAGTTTGGATTAGGGTTTGATCACATTACAAAGGATTACAAGGTGGTTCGAGTTTTACAACGGCCCTTGGAAGAAGAAGCACTGCGTGTAGTTGAAGTATATAATCTTAGAACTAATTGTTGGAGAAAACTAGATGTTGCTGTGCCAGCTTTTGGAAATTATTCAGAATACGATTTTTATTTGAATGGATTTTATCACTGGTTAGTTCGTTACTCGTATGAGGATGCAAGGACCTTTATTTTGAGCTTCGATTTTAGCAAAGAGATGTTTAGGACAATCAAATTGCTAGTGAATCAGCTGATTTTCGTGTTGTTGAGAATCTTTTTGTAATTGACGAGACTCTTGCTGCATTGCTACACCTTTCGCAGATTCGAAATCTGAGATTTGGGTGATGAATGAGTATGGTATTGAGAGTAGTTGGACTAAGAAGTTTGAGATCGTCATACCACAAGACGCGACCATTTTAGGGTTTTGGGGAGATAATGAGATTCTTCTAATCAAGGAAGATGATCATGGTCAATTGACTTCTTATGATCATCAAAATGGACGGATGGTACATAGGTTTCAAAACCCTGTTCTAGGAGTGACTCGTATTTTTGACTATGTGGAAAGTTTGGTTCCTTTGGCAGAGAGAGGCACTAAAGACTCGACCGTATTAGGGTTTGGTAATTTCTTGAGGCAATGGCTTACTAAATGTGAACATTTCTTTTAGTGAAAATCTGGTGTGATGGACTAACCCTCTAGACGCAACCCTAATTAGAGGAAACACTGAATATTCATATTTTATTCTTTTTTATATTTTCTTCCTATATTTTTGTAACTTTTTTATCAATTCATTGAACGCATTTATATTTCTACATTACTCCCTCCATTCTTATATACAGGTGTTTTTTAACAGACTCTCATGTATTAATAAAAATTTATTATCTAGTTAAAATCACGTTAAATTATAATAATTTTTTAATTTTATCTCTAATAATGTCAATTAATATCATGGTGTTGGTGGATAAAACAGTCAATTAATATCTCTTCCCTTTTTTTCAGATAAGGGTAAAATTATTTAATTATTAAAAAATATCATGGCACCCCTTATATTAAGCTACAAAATAAACTTTTAAAAAACATTCTATATATAAGGATGAAGAGAGTATGATGAAACAGAAAATTTATATTGAATAGAGAATAAGGTTTCATCAATTATTGGTATTGGCCTTTTCTTTTCTTATTAGAAATTTTAAATAGACCTTATATATTACATTATTAAAATTGGTATTTGATGATGTTATTAAATTTATATCATTTAAAATTTAATTATCTTGCTTTGTTTGGTTAATAATATTGGATCTAATTATTATTAAATTTCAGATCTTATTTTAATTTGTTTATATCTTAAGCTCATTTGAAATCCAACCCAGCCCATCTTATGAACGTATACTAAGCAAACAAATTGTGCCTATCTTTAAAGAGAAAA